GGAAGGAAGATGTTGGTGTCTCTGGACTAAACTGAAAGAACTTATGGGGAGATAATACCTGCCACAGTTCGATGCTGAAGTTGAGAAAATACTTAATGAGAAGCATGATAGCAATAGTATTTTACAAATGAAAACGTAAGCTCTGTGTATTCTAAAACTGAATAGGAATCTTATCCTTATAGAGCTTTGTTATAAATTTAAATGTAGAATTTCTCCTGTCAAGAAAGGAGACTTGAAGCTCTGAAATGTAAAAATACCGAGTTATGACTCCTGAGTAGGAATGCCTGCATATATCTTCTCAAGTTTGTGACATTTCACTTCAGTTACCATTTCAAGAAATGAATGATCTGAACACTCCAAAAGTTAATAACCCAAATTAATTTTAATAATTGTATAACTAATGCTATTAACATGTAGAAAGGTCAATAGGGCATATTGGAAGAGCAAGGATTCCTGACTCCCTATTTATTAGCTACTGTGTATAACTCCTCTGCCTCATTTTTCTCCATAGAATGGATTTAATAATACCAGTTTCCCTAGGTTTTAAGAATTGAGTTAATATATGTAAAGAGCTACAGTGTCTGGCATATGGTAAGCATTATAGAAGAATCTGCCATTTACTGTAAAGTGGCAATGGTGAATATCTGATCTTTTTTTCCTTAACTTGAACAACAGTTGTTCACATTGCAATGGATAATAATACCCACTTGCTTATGATTTCTGGTCCCCAGACCCACAATTTTAACTTATTACTGAAATGTTACCAAATTGCCAAGAAACATATAAAATAAATCTTAGTAAAGGTTTAAAATTCTTCATATGAAGGCATGTTTCTTAGTGGGAAAGGGAGAAATTTATAATAAAAGTCACCCTTAATTCTTAAAGAGGAAATCTTGGGGTCTGGTTCCTATCCTAAACATTTCCAGGCCAAGGTATATGGTTTGACAAACACCATAGAGGATTCTGATGTGTTTCCTTTGCTGAGAACCATGTTTTTAGGTTAAATGTAAGAGAAGTTTGATTCTTGAAGAAAAATTCCATTTAGTGGCAGTTTTTTTTAGTCTAGTTTTGAAAACTAGGCATCCAACGCAAAATACATTGATTATTCTAAAACTTCCATTTTTTTTAAACTTGTTTTTGTCATAGTGAAAGGTGGTATGTCTGTTTTTATATGATGTAGTTTTAATGCTGAGTATATCTCATTTATAAATAGCAAGGGAAAACATCAGGGGACAGAGGAAAATTTGATTTTTTTATGATTGTGTGTAGATTACAATTTTATAGTTACAATTTATACGATGAAAAATAACATTTGTAAATTTAGCCAAAAATATATTTAAAGCTTTTAGCTAAATTGGATAATAACTGAAATACAAAAGAAGAATATCTATTTAAGCCAGCAAGGTTTTGTGTTTGTTAAAATCTTTAGAAGATTCAATAAATATCTGCTGAATTGTATTAAGTATTTGTATTATACTAAGTCAGTCAGTATAAATAGCAGTTTATTAATTCGACAGTAAATATAAACGTTCTTTATATCTAGGATTTTTGAGTTCCAAGTTAAACAGAATTTTTACTGCAGTGGAGAGGAAGAGCATAGCAGGCAAAATAACAGGTAATTCTGTAGTTTTAAACAACAACCAAAAAAAACCCCAATAATTGAATCCCTGTCATCCTGTATTGATTTTTTTTTTTTAAAGCATATCTATCTGTATAGATAAGTTCTTAAGAGGTTCAGAAACCGGTATTAAAAGAGATGGGACAGCTTAAGAATGTTTTGGATTAGGTTAGAGTGAGTAGAAAAGATGACATAAGATAGAATTACATCTGTGTAGTTTTTTTCAGTTTTTTTCCCCTGACTTTTCAATTTATGTGTAAAGGTGGTTCTTTTGTGGCCTTTAGTGGGATAAAACAGATCTGAGAATTAACAGTGGGTTTGTAGTGATTGACAGCTTAACTAGCTAAGAAAATCTCAAATTTTGGATACTCAATTTATCATTCAGTTCCCAGGCAGTAAAAACTAGACATTTACTTCCTTTACACTTCATTAGTTGATTTCATGGAACCACTCAAGTCACAGAGATTTTTAAAATTGTAATTTGTTTCCCCAGTTAGTCTTTTTTTTTAAAGCAAAGCTAAAGGAGCCATTCTTAGGAGAAGGAAAAGTTTGAAGAGCTACTTTTTCAAGTTGGGCCCCCCAAATCATGGTTATTAATTTGCTCTTTGATTTCCCTTTCTTGGTGAAACTGATGTGCTTTTGTTTTTTCCCTTTCAAGCCCTGTACTTACTTTAGCAAGATGCAGTGAATTTGTGACCCAAGAAAGAATTCAGGCTTGGAGAAAATTTGATTCCATATCCTGAGAAACTAGAGTTGAAGCCTGAGATCTACAGCTAGGCTAGTCTTTAATAGATGGTAATTGTCCAGTTGTTCATTGCTCAGAAGTAGCAGGAAGGAAGAGTAAGTATCCCTTTGGTTCTTTTGCCTGGAGTGTTTTTTTTTTTTTCCTCCAAAAGTGCTGTCAGGTTAGTTGACCTAGCTTTCAGAAAGTGTGATGCGTTACTAATTTAGAAACAACTGACCTCTTAAATTTATATTCTTTTAATACACATTTTAGAAGTACTTGGCTTTTGTTATATTTTTGCAATGCTATTCTTTGCCCTGGTGTGAACATCTAAAATAAATATCCCAATTATTGCCCTACCAAGAAAAACTTTTAAGCATTACCCATGGCAGGGAGCAAAAGAATTGAGGGACTAGAAACATTTCCAAAATTACAGTAGATTAATTGGGAGTATTTTAAGTGCATTTCATTTGAGTCATTTTTCACAATCATGACTTGGAGGAAATATAAAACAACCAAGAGTAGAATCCTCATCCAGTACATCTTTTTCAAATACACTGTATCAAAGAATCTGACATAGTCCACAAGAAAAGCAGTTTCCTACTATCTGGACCATGGGCCAAGAAGATAGCTACTGATTTTACCTGGCAAGGTCAGCACTAAATATTAACTAGGACACTCATTTTCACAGAGGTTTATAGTATGCAGTATGATGTTAGTCCATAAAGACCAGATAATCACTAAAAATTGATAACACGTTAATCTTATAAAGCCTTTATTTAAGAAATAAGATGATCAAAAGTCAAGCCAGGAATAAATGCCTGTAGTTCCAGCTATTTGGGAGTCTGAGGCAGGAGGATCACTTGAGCTCACAAGATCCAGACCAGCTTGGGCAACATGGTGAAACACTATCTCAAAAGAAAAGTACTACTACCATGGAATTGTGTTAATAGTAGACACTGAGCAAGTTATTTTCAGGGATGGAAGTGTAGCTCAGTGATAAGAGTATATTCCTAGTATGCATGAGGCCTTAGGTTGAATCCCCAGCACCACAATTTTTGGGGGTACTTGGGATTGACCCCGGGGGTGTCTCACTATTAAGCTACAGCCTCTCAGACAGGGTCTCCATTGCTAAGGCTGGCCTTGAATTTGGCAATCTTACTGCCTCAGGCTTCTGAGTCACTGGGATTATAGCCATATGCCACCACACCTGAGCTAAAATTCAGTATTAAGGAAATTAGAAGATTGCATTCATCAGAAAAAGTAGAGAAGTATATATACCTCTTATGGATGGAGGTACTATTCACATGGATTTTAGGAGTAGGGTGATAAGTTGCATGTATCAGCGAAATCCTTATATTTCAAGATGAAGGTAGTATTTATAGCAACTTTTCAGGAAGGCAACAGGCTCCATGAAGAGATTGAATAACTTGCTCAGTGTCTACTAAATGTTATAATGGGATTAAATGTAATTAAAACCCTTGCTTTTCCCCCATTATGCTACATTTGGTAGGTGTGTTGGAATCTGACTTTGATTTGGGTTAAGAATATTTAGGTGGAAGGATAATAAAAAACAGGGGAAAAGCAGCTGTTTAGTCAAGCGAAGGAAAAAAGCTTCTCAAAATTCCTAAAAGGCTAAACAGTTTCTTTAGGAAACAGGAACCAGGAGGCAGTATGGCCTTAGAGTTAAGGAGCTCGGCCTCAACAATTCTCATTGCCTTTTAAAACCCCTTCATGATTCTAAAAACAGGTATTGCCATATAGACATTGTCATGGGGACTAGAAAAAGCATTTTTTCTGTATTTTCATATCTATGCTAGTCTGAGTCAATGACTTCATTAGAATCCTTTGGTAATATTAAGGGTCACTCAACAAGCATTTTACTAAAAGATCCTAAATAAGATTAATGAGGGTTAAGGCATCAAATGGGAACATGGAGACTTCAGTTTGCATAATGCTATAGTCAAAGGGATTCTCTAAAATGTTTCAAAATCAGATGAGGATGACAAATGTTTGTGTGACCTACTTGAAGCAGTTACTAGGTACCTGCAGTTAGGTTATGTAAAAATAGATGTTTAAATTTTAGAACAGAAGAGTGATTAAATTTCAAATTGTTATTAATTCTGGACTTCTGATATAGTACCAATGTAAACATTTGGGAGACAGTTGTGACTACTGATCCATATTTTTGCCTTCACGGAGAAGGGTATTTGTTAGAAAATAATTCTGGTATTCATTATTCAGTTTCTGTTTCTTGTGTTAACTTTTGTGTTTTCATTTGTCTTTTAAAAAATTAATACTTCTTACTCATACAATCTATCCATATCCTCCACCCCCACAAAAGGAAAACCAACCAGGGAAAGAAGAGTTTAGGGGCAAATGAAATATGTACTATAGGTTTGTACAGCCCATTATCCTGTACACATACAACAAAATGGCAGCCCCTCAAGTTTGCCTGAATGTTGTCCCAAATTCCAGCCCTATGCCAAAGATGCCAGTGAATGCCATGGGAATAACAAAAGTCATTGGCTTCCATTTACTTTCCATGGTAATTTTAGTACAATCTTAAACTCTCACTTGGGAAAGTCAAAAGTAAGCAAATATATAGAGCAACATCTTGACCTAGCCAGGAATAATTATAAACGAAACTAGAAACAGTTTACTTGGGCCACAGAAATGAATCTGTTTTGTCATGTTTTTCATTAATTCCCAGCACCTGAAATGTAGCAAGTCCTAGTACTGGGTTTTAAAGGCATGCAGTTTTCAAACACACATCTATTTCAAAGAATTTCTTCCACTCAAACACAGCACAATCAAGGAAGATTTTTTTGAAGGAGGCACAGGGAGAGCACAAGAACAAGTGAGATTATATATATATGCTGAGGTCTTATGTATGACCAAGATGGTACACTCCATATAAAAGTTGCGAATGCTGTTTAAGTGCTACTCACAAAAGAATAGTCTAACATTAACACACAACTCAACTGCACTGCTAAATATGGTTGTCTTTATTTTCTTTTTCCTTGCCCAGCCCTATCTAAACATAAAATAAAACTACAGGACTGAAATTAACAACCCATTAAAATCAGCAATAAGTTATGAAAATCATAAAGCTTTTTTTTTTTTTTTTAAGTAATTAAGGATAGTTAAATTATTTAAAGTATACAAAGTCCAAACAGCTGGGGGTAAGGTCTCCAGGAAGGCTTCCCAGGGTAAGAGAGGACCAAAGGAAAACCTTGCAGTTTGAAAGACAAAGGGAACACATGACATCAAAGTGCAGGCTAGAAATTTCACTTCGAAGAAAATAACATTTCTGGAAACATTTATAAGAGCAACAATAGCACCTGCACAGGGGGATTGTGAAGAAGACTGCTTGTAGAAAATGGAAGCAAATCTTTACATTAAAATGAGACAAGTGCTGAACTTAACTATGTTAACTATGATAGTGTGTCTACTATGGATATCAGATGGTTAAAAGCTGGTAAAAGGTAATGATTCTAAAAGAAAACAAAAACAGCATTGACCTTTTTTCTACCTAGCCCAGACCTCATTCATTTTGTGCACTATAAAGAGTGAGGTGTGAGGTGTTTTATCATTATCAAATGCTGCATCAAAATAGATGATTTTTTTCCCATGTGTTTTTCCACTATAAAAGACATCTATGTTTACTTATGGACAAGCTTTAAAAAGATGTCATTTTGGTTTTCAACACATATAAACAGTTATCAAAATCTCAAATAAAAATGCTGCCGTGGCTCAGACCTTGGCCTGCTAATCTGCGTGCACAACTCTTCTGACCCATGCAGACACAGGCACATGGAGCTTTTTCCTTTTGTCTCCCCAATCCATACTCATAGGCCTTGTGTGATAGAGGCTGTCATGCATGGACTGCCCCCATGCAGCCCTTAGGCCACGGGCTGGCGAGATGGCAGTTGGGTGCCCTAGTGCTAACAATGCAGGATAAGGTTAGCTTGTTTAGCATGGAATCCAACAGAAAGCTGAGCTGCATGATGATCCCTTTCAAAAGGCTTCATGGGAGTCTCTCCTTTTGTAGAGCATGAAATGAGTTTGGGTTTGTTTCATTTTTGTTTTAAAGAATTGATCATCCACAGGCTTCATGATAAACTGTCCCAGGCTGAGTTTTAATAGCTCCTTAGCTATCGAAGATTAATGCCTGATTATCTTTTCTTTACTATAGGTTTGATTTTTTTTTTTCCTAGGGCCATAAAGCTCAGGAAGGGTTCATAATCCCATTTTTAAATGTGTCTACTCAATGTAGTATGAGCAAACGAGAAAAAGAGGATGGAATCTCCAGTGTCCTCTTTGAAATCAATTAGATCAAATCAAGATAATTTCACACAAGTTTTCCATTGCCATTAGAAATTGTGATTTTTTCCGATGTGAATATTCTGAATATATTTGTTCTGCTGGGGAGGCTCTACCCCACTTTTTGCTAAGTATTTGCTTAAATACAGGTCTTCTGACCCTTTGTTCAAGTATAGTTTTGTTTAGCTTTATAGAGGAGACTGCATCATGAACCCAATTTAAGAGATTGTACTGAATTGGCCCAGTGAATATTTTGCCCTGCACTGTTATGTCATGCTGGGTTCTAGGAAGTGAACGAAAGTTTCACACTGGCACTGGAGTAACCCTCATCACTCCCAATACTCTGCAGGCTGCTGTGGTCATCAATGTCACTGATGCTGGTGGTACTTATATTGTCCACTTCTCCATGGGAGAACTCTGTGCTTTCAACATCCACTTCAATCTCCTCTGCCAAAGGGGGAAAAAAAAAAAAAGAAAAACATTAATAATCTACTCTATGTGCACCTTCAAAAATTAAAAGGCATGAGGAAAAGTGGCATAAAACAAAAGTTATACAACCAGTTTTTTTATCAGTGAGCTCTGGAGAACAGAGAAACTGAAGATCAAAGAAATACTTTCTGTACAGGGGAATCTCTGGTATACAATGGTGGTCTTAATTTGGGCAGCAAGTTTACTAAAACCCTGTTGACGCCAGTCCGTCTGGACCTCCCACCAATCTGGGAATTATTAATTAATATTAAAAGATCCCAACCCAAGTGGTTTAACAACATCTGTCTTACATTAAACCAAAAACTAATTCTCAGTGTTGTTTACTAATCAGGGTTGACTAGCAGAGGGGGAGCACAAACCTAAAAACAGACTAGGGGCTGAAGGTATAGCTCAGTGGTAAAGCACTTGCCTCGCATGCACAAAGCCTGATTCCAACACTGGAAGGAAAAGAAAATAGCAAACTAGAAAATCTACTCATTCAAGCCTTTGGAGATACCATTCTACAGATAGTTCTACAGACTTCAAAGGTTCATAGTGAAGATATTTTGCTATTTAGTAATTAAAATAAGCCATTTGTTATAAAGTAGATTTTTGAGGGATTTGTCTTTAATTTTCTTGCACCAAATATAGTTTGAAGTTCCCACCTCCTCCCTTATCTTTTCGGTTTGTTAGGGATGAAACCCACAGTCTTGTACATGGTAAGTGGTCTGCCACTGAGTTACATTCTCAGCCCCAAATATAGCTTGAAATAAAGACCTGAAGCTTAAAATAAGTCTCTGAATTATAGTGAGATCTATAGGATTACAGGAAAGGCATTTTGGATGGTGGTATTTAACTTCAAAAACCCAAACAAACCCTTAAACACGTATATGATGTCTATATAGACCTTGTCAAGTACTACATATACTATCACCAATACGTTATAACAACAATACACAGTTTAAAAATAAAAGTTAAAAATTGTTTTATCCAATAAGGGCTAGAATAAAAATAGGATTTTCCATTCCTCTATGACAAACTCTAAATATGTGTTTCATATTTGAATTAGATGAAACAAGAATGACAGAATGTTGACAGCTATTATAACTGAATGATGAGTACATGAGAGTTAATCTATTTTCTCTATTTTTGAATATTTTGGAAATTTCCATTAAAAAGGGCAAAACAAAAAAGAAGACTTAAAAACTTAGTGTCACTTGTATAATATTTTAGAATGTTTAAGATCTCATTAATTCTGTTTTCTCAAATTTAAGGCTCAAAATCATCAAGGTTCACCTCAGGGTTTTCTATTATGGTATAAGGCCTGAGCTATAAAGTTCAGACTGTTTCTTTTTTGGCTGACTTCTTTTCTATAATTCTGCCAAAGACAAATGTTTGAGGACAGGCAGAAAGAGTAATGAAGGGTGTGGTACTTTAAAATATACATTAAGAAATTAATATCACCAGTAATAAAACATAATTCAGTATTTTTTCTGAAACAATGAAATGAAGGGCACAACATCACTTAAGTGATATTTCTTGCCCCAATTCAATAATTTTAAAACTTCAAACTCAAATTGAGGAACACTGTATAAAAAGATTGGCAAATACTCCAAAATGTTATGGTCATGAAAGAAAGACTGAGGAATAGCTAATGCAACAGGGAACGCTGCATAGGATCCTAGACCAGACAAAGGATATCAGTGGGAAAAACTACTAAATTTTGAGTAAAGTCTGCAGATTACTTACTAGTATTATGTCAGTTTAATTTCCTGGTTTTAATAACTCTATTATGGTTATATAAGATGTTAACATAAGGGAAAACTGAGTTAAGGTAGGTGAGGGCCCTACAATTTTCTACAGAAAACTTTAAAAGTATTTCAGAATGAAAAGTTTTAGGTAGGTAGATAGATAATCCCCACCTCCCCAGAATAAGAATTACATAGTTCACACAGGCAGGACTATACAATGTTGTGAATACAAAAAATGTCAGTGTTGGCTAAAAAGAAAGCAAATACAGTGTGCCTCCCTAACTCCAGATACAGAGATGCTTAGTATTTCATTAGAGAAAAGGCACACTGCCTACCTCGCTCTGAATCAGAACGATCTGAAGAAATAGTTGATCCAATGCTGTCCATTCGTATTCGTTCCATTTCTTGAGGACCCTGCAGCTGTTCTAGTCGCCGCTTTAAAAATCTCTGTTCTCGTTCCAAGTTCTCAAGCTGGTGCTGGCTTTTCCTTTCAGCTTCTTCAAGTTTCTAGGATGATGAAATGATATTTACATTGTGGATAGTACAATACAAACATTAACTTATTTCTACCTGATATCTTAAAAGATTTCTTCTTTGGCTGAGAAAACAAGTGAATATACAAGTGTCTGCATATATGAAAACATATAAATTCATATTTTTAAACATCAAAAGAGTCCTGTCTTATTTGTGTATGACTGCATATAAACAATACAGAATTTTAAAAGTCTGTAATCTCTATAAAGGACAGACTTCCTCTGCAGTGTGGTATTTGATGGAAAAATACTGAAGGACACAGTCAAATGAAGTCATCTCCACCAGAGGGCACAATGGTCTTCCTTGTAGATATCACAAGAGTAATTGTTATTTTTCTAGCATTCTCAGATCTTCAAATGGCCACACTGTCAAAACAATTTAGTTTTATCAGGTTATGTTGCTCCACTCAGACAGATTAGGTGATCAATTTTTAGAAAGATTTCTCTTAAGGTCAGTTATTAAGGAGGGCATGGTGAGCCAGCTAAAGTATATGAACAGGAATCATTGGTAATAACTAAACTAGGACCCAGAGAATCATGTGCAAATCTGAAAGTAAAAACTCTCACCTTGATGTGTGCTTTGGCTTTATTGAGCAAACCAAGGGTTGTGTGCCTGGTGCAGTCTGGTCCTAGTGGAATCAGAACTTTTAAGCGTTCTAAACACAGGCGCAGATGAGCTCGTCTGAGACCAAAAAAAAAAAAAGTCAAATGAGCACAACCTGAATATTTTACTGGAAACAGCATAAAACCTATTTTAAGAAAATAATTTGGGATTATTCAGCCTATAAACAATTCTTCAAAGTATCTGCAAGTATAGAGGTGTCTGCATTTCAGTCCCTCCCATTTCCATTGTAGTCTGAAGACACCAGTCACTTCATACTATCCCCAATGGTAATCTGTCAAGAGACAGTTTATTTTTTAGTCTACCTCATAAACTGTCAACTGTATTAATGTGGAATACTAATAATACAGCAAAAAGTACTTGATTTTGAATGCCTAAAACCATGCACTAGAACAGGGGTTTTCAGATAGGGTACCCCCAAGAGGTATAAAATGCACACAAGTTTCCATTTCCCCTCTCTCATCTTTTAATTATACAAATACAACCCTACCTCTCTGCATTTATAGCCACCCTACAGTGTGTTACGTGTTGTCATTATGTATTATGCTGAACCAAATGAACTTCCTGATCCTCAACCATTTCTCACTTAAATAGTTCCCAGTTTCCTATCCATGTATAAGAAGAGCTCATTAGCTTTTATTTTTCTCTCTTCCTCTCTCTCACTCCTTAACTCTTCTATACAAGAAAATAGATGATAATTCTTTACTGAAGTCACTGCATCCTCAAATCCATCTATCTTATGGAAAAGTCAGGTTTCCTGGGAATGCTAGGAAAGCCTCATGGATTTATCTTCCTCCCTGTGCTCTAAAAGAAGCCATGATTGTGATGATGAGAATGACTACCTAGTTTCATCCTAAAACAGTATCTGTTCTTATCTTTGGTTCTGTGCTTCTTAAAACATAATTCAGTAGTTAACAGATATGGGAAAAAATACGCAAATGTATTCATAATTTCCCCTTAACTCGTTGAGAGAGCTGTAAATGAAATGTTTAGCAACTAATTTAGCTGCACTGGGAACAAAACACACTCTCCTCATTTTCTTCTCAAAGAGGACCAAAATGGGTTTACTAGCTCTGTCAAAAAACATTCTTTCTATTTCTTAATACACAAGAAATAAAAAGTGAAATACCCAAATGCTAGCAATGTTAAAAGGTGGAAGAAGGCAATAAGCAGCCAATTATGTCACTGACAAGCAAGGACGATTAAAGGTAGTGAAGTCAGGGGTTTGGCTGATGAACTGTCAAGATTCTTATAGTGCCCACTAGTCTAGCTACAGTTAAAGATCTTTTAAGACTTTCCATTCCAAATCTATTGCATTCATCATCTCAAGTTTAATATTTGGCTCAAGGCTGTGCTGACATACTTGATGTGGATAAAGGCATGTTTTTATTTTCTCTGAATTAAAGGTTTATCAATGGAGTCCCCTTAGGATATTTAATGATTTTTAAAGTCACTATGCTCCTCTACTATGCTACCCAAATCTCTTTAAAATGAAGAATTTCACATGATCAGACTGCTCTAGATGAGCAGATCAAAAACAAAAACCATATACAAAGTAAAAACTGCCTTTATATTCTTCATTAGGATTATTATGGCATATGCCAAACAAGTGCACTCATATAAGACTGTAGGATGGAGAGAGAGACTGGTGGTTCTCTGCTAATTAAAGGTTCAGCTCTGGATTCAGCCTTATTTTTTTTTTTAAATGCAACAAACAAAAGCAACTAGTAATGTTTGCACATAGTACCTTGCTACAAGAACAGCTCTGTCAATTTTGTTCAAATTTCTAATTTCAGAAATCTGGTATATAATTGTTTCTTATACTTTAGTTTAAGAAACTTCTGACTCCTTACTATAGTTTCATATCAAGAATAAAAAGGGTGGGTCAATTTTCTGTTTTGTTAGACTTATTGAAACCTACACGTAACATTACAGTCTTTTTTCTCTCTTTTAAACATTATTTGTGTACTTATTAAATGACTTTTGTGAACTCGGCATTGTTCCAGGTATCTGCCTGAGGGAGAAGAGTATAAAGTGAACTTTTAAGAGTTTATAAGCAGACTACAACATGAAACTTATTTGTTTAGTATCATTCTGAAGTAAGTTGTATAGATATCAAGGGCAACACACTGAAAAAGTGGAGACATTCCAAATGAAGGAGACAGACTTGTAAAGGAGGCTGAAACTTGACTTTGGATTTGAAGGACGTTGAACTTCTCTATGAAGAAGAAAGTATTTTCCATGTAATTAAGAGAATGAAAGGACTTAGGTTTATAGTTGGAAAATAAATTTAAATCTAAGATTAAAAATATCTGTTTCATTCATTCAAGAGAAAACAACTTAGTTGACATTCTATAAGGAAGATCAGCTAAGTTGAACTGTCTGGTGACCTTCAATAAATTACTTTAAAATTTATTAAGTAATAAATCAGGAGCCGAGACCAAAGGAGTAAAGGCTTAAATAATGCTTAAATGAACTGAAAAGGCAGAGTCCCCTTTAAAAAAAAAAATCTGTTTTATTAGACACTCCTGAACATTTCTTCAGTTATTTAATTGTAAATCTGCTCTTAAGATACAGCTTACACTAAGAAAACACCCTGAGAAGACTTATCTCACAAAGGCCAGGGATGCCATTCTCCATGCTTTGCAAATACAGTTCTCCAAAACAGACACTGGCTTGAAGGATGAGCAGTAAGTGATGTTTGCTCTTCTAAGGGAAGAGGTCTATTTGTGGGAGCTAAGTATAATTTCCTTCAGTGTTTACACTTATAAATGAAACAGGCATTTGGAGAGTAAAAATAACAAAGGGTTAATGGCAGCTGAAAGTCAGTAGCTGATCAGGTGGGAGCCACACTTTTCAGAACACGATTCATAAAATACACTTTCCACTTGTGTCTATGTGCCACTTAGGCAAAGGCATCCTTCAAAGAGCAATGGATATAAATCGCAAAGAGTTAAATCATATTCTCCTTGTTGTGTAAGTTTTTTCTCTCCAACAAATTCCTAGAAGAAGAAATGTATGGCAAATTACTCTTCCCTTACCATGGTGCTGCTCTCTACACTTTACCCTATAGTCTCCCTGCTGTTAACCAGATTGCAAGCTTAACCACCAATGACCTAGAAAGGCATATCTTTTGATGCCATCTGGCCTTTTCTTTTCTTGTCTTCATTCTCATGTGACTGGTAGCTCAGGATCCTCCTGTATGGGGTTGCCAAATCATGGGCTGTACGACTTTGGGGAAAAGAAAGCAGACAAGAAACAAAGAAGATAAAAGCTTGGTTTGGTTTGAAAATCCTTATTTACTGAGAAAAGATAACATGCAAGTATCATACAATGTTTTTCAAGTCTCCAGAGAGTAGAAGAGCTGACACAGAGAATAAAGGTCTGGGAAAGGCATGGTCCTGCACCTGACATTATAAGATTGATGGAACCAGACTTAATGGAAAATTACTTTTTAAAAAAAATTTAGCCCCCTTGTTAGCATTTACTTAACTTTTTATTTAACACACAGGTATTCTTTTAAACACATGGAGAGCTCAATAAAAGCTATAAAAGCCAAAATCATTCCTAAATTAGTATGAGTTATAGTAAAGCAAAATTAGGATTAGATACTGTAGCAAGGAGGTGACCTATGAGAAAACTCAAGTCTCTTGGCAGGGGCGGTGTTACTAGAGAATGGAGAGATACTAATGTTCTTTTATTTTCAAAGACAATATGAAGGTTGTTATTTTAAAATGAGATTCAAAAGTGGGTTTTACCCAGGGAAAAGGCAATTTGCAGTTACTAACCCTGTTAAGTGCACATACCTTTAGAAAGGACAAGCCCTTATGGGAAAGAGAACAATTAAAGTCTGTTTGCTTTTTGTTTGAGTAGAGTGGGATCATTTTTCCCTAAAGGAACCAATGTTGCTTTTGGTCTCAAATCCTGTAAATATACTGCCAAACTGATATATCATAGAATAATGAAGGGAAATGATTTTGCTGTAAAATGGCCCCTTGTAGCAGCTATAATATTTTAAAGCACAGGTATATCAATCTATAAGAAGCACACGTTGTTGTGGGAGAAGAAAGAATTTCCTTTCAGGGTGGAAAAAAAACAACATACAAACTGCAAGCATCATATGACTATGCTTTTCAATTCTTAAATTTTGTCAACTTGCCTCTGGAAACTCTAATCCCCCTAACCCAACAATAAGAAATCTAACCCTTGCCCACCCCACAAACTGTTTATTGGCTGATGCTGCTGGAGGCACAGTCCTGCACTGGAACTTGCTCGCCTTTCATTCCTCCACTACAGGATACCAAGACTTTGCCAAGTAACTAAATCAAAATGGAAAACAAGTCAAGTGATAGGGACAGAGCTAGTATTTTCCTCTCTGCTGAATGTTACACAATGGCCTGTGAGTCCTCCCATGAGCCACATTCTTCAAAGCTGTGGTGGCTTGTGGCCAGGTTTCTCAACTCCCCACAAACACACCCCTGCACGCACATGACAGCAGCTAGCTGCTTATCCTGAATACCAAAGTTTTTCTAAAATTTAGTTTATGTTGAGAATATTATAAAACTCTCCAAAGATACACACAAACCTGGCCTGACTTTTACGTGAAACATGGATCCAGATAGGTCAAACACTACACTGTTCATGAATTTTAATTACTAAAACATATATGATCACATTCTATTGTTCAGCTTTTTCTGTTTATGAAATAAGCTAGATAAGCTATTCCTATAAAATGGTATTTGATAATTATATGTTTCACCTAAAACTTACAGATTATCTACTTCACAGAAAATAAACAGACTATTAACTCCCAGGTAGTAACTTGGCAAGTGACATTTCCCTAGCATCAGACTTGACTATGGTAGTCATGGGACTCAATAACAACAAATAAAAACAGGAGAGTAGCTTGGACCCTCTTTTCACTTTTCAAACTGAGACCCTCTTCTCACTTTTCAAAAAGCAGCTGATTTCACTTAATATTCCTCTTAATTGGTAACTTGTATAATAACCAAATTGGAGTATCAAGTATCATAATGAAGTTGCAAATTACATAATGTATG